TGATCTATTTTAAAAATATTCAGAATTAATTAATATATAATTATTATATAATTATTAAATAAAAAATTAAATTTCTATAAAGTACTTTATTTAAATAAAGTTATTTATTTATATTTTTAAAATATATTAATAATTAAACTTTATTATTCTTATTATTAATATTCTTTAAGCAAATTATTAAAAAATATATTAGTATGATATAAGCTTATATATTAAAAAAATATAAAACTTAGCTAAATGATTCAAAAAATTATTAGATTTTAATAATAAATCTGTTAATTATCAACATTAAAATTTAAAGTAAAATAAAATAGCCTTTTTTTAAATATAATATAACTCAAGTGATCGTTAAGAATTGAAAAATGTAGCATAATAAAGTGATTTATAAAGTGATTAATATATGTATTGATTTACAGAATCAATGACACAAAATCTGCAGAAGTGATCTGTGAAATTAACCAGATCAGTTAATAAAATAATAGATCATTAGCTCATAATGGTACTTGTAATCTTTTAAACTCAAAACATCAAAAAGGAACTTCAAGAAAAAACTAGTTAAAGGCTAAGTATAAGGATATAGTAATAATTTAAGAATAATTTAATTATATTCTTTATATCTCTTCAAATATATATATTATAATTATAGGACTATTGCATAGCGATTAGTAGTTATTACTACATTATTACATCAAAATTACATAGAAAGATAAGATAATTATTACATAGTTTTTATGCAATAGATAGCAATTTTAGTATAGAAATTTTATTATAAATAAGCTGAGTTTTTTATCATATATCAATAGAAATTTAAAGAGTAAAACTTAGAAATTTAAGAAGTTAATTTTATAAATTAATAAAACTCTTTGATAAATTATCTCAGCAAATCAATCACTTATATCAAACATATTTTTTGTCAAACTACTTTGTCAACCGTGTTTAATATTACTGATTTATTCGTGTCAATAAATTACTTAATGTCAAACAATTGCTTGTGTTAATAACTGTGTTTAGAGTTATCAACAAGTTAAAGTATTAATATTGTAGAATATTTTAAGCTGCATATCACTAACTTGATTATAATAAATCTATTATAATGACATTAAGGTAATTTTTCTAACTTAGAGAAAATTATGAGTCATACATAATAAATTAGAAGTCTTCATATTTGCCAATACAAAAACTTAATTAAGAAAGTACACCAACATCAATTAAAGTTTAACATAATTAAAGTCTCTCCTAATTTTATCATAAAGGTTAAGTTAAATTTTGCTGTTACTCAATTGATTACGTGTTTAAGACTGACTAATTAATAGTTGGATAACAATAAGTAAATTGTAATAATCTAATATAAATTAATAAATTTAATATAAAATTTAACCTTTAAAAATTATATAATACTAAAGATAACACTTTCAATTATTTTGAAAATAGTAAAACTAATTGCTTAATTATATATATAAATTTGTAATATTGTGATATATATTATTTAATAATATATATAAAATTTGTAATATTTTTTATTTATAAATATTTTATTAATAAAATTAAAAAATCATTATAATTTACTATTTATTTATATTTAGTTTAATAGTAAATAACTTATTTTATAATATTAATATTACTATAATAATATTATTTTTAAAAAATAAAATTTTTATAAAGTAAATTTAATATTTTTATATTTAAATTATTTATATTAAATAAATTACATTATAAATTAATTAATTATAATAATATAAATTATTATAAATATATTTATTACTATTTTGATAATTGTTAATTTTAAATCTTTAAATTTATAAGATATGTAATATTATAAATGTAATACTTTTCTTAATTAATAATTTTATATATATTTCTTTATATAATACTAAGGTAATTTCTATAATTATGTAATAAGTTACAAGTATTAAAATTTAATTTTCAAATAAAGTTATGATTGTTGTAATTACAAAATTTTTCTAATACTACTAATTTTTTTTATTATCAGTTCAAGTAAAATTTAATTGATTAATAAATTAGTACTATAATAGTTATTTTAATTATTAATTAATTAGTATTTTTAGTATTTGAACTTTAAGTTTTTATATTTTTCTTAAATAATTTAACAAATAAATTTATTAATAAAATTTAAAAAAGTATAAATATCTTAATAATTTAAAATATTAAACTTAGTAACATTTTTATTATTTAAAAATATAGTATAATATATTTTTTATAACTTTATATACTTAGTATGGTAATTATTATAATTAAATATATATGTAATACGTAATTATGGTAATTAATTACCATTTTTTTAAAAAAAACATAATTGCGAAATTAATTATAAAGGTGGTAATTAATACTTATAGACATAATTAATTACATAGATAGTAATTAATTATATAGATAGTAATTAATTTCAGAGAACGTAATTAATTATGAAGTGATAATTAATATTTATAGACGTAATTAATTACGAGTGACTTAATTAATAATTTTTTTTAATATATAAGTGTATAAAAAGAATTCTGTAATATTATTAACATAATTTTTAGCTTTAATTTAAGTCTAAATTCACTTTGTGTAATCTTTGTGCATAAAGACACATAATTTTCTTTTATGGTATTCATCATGTAACGTGTGATTAATATCGAGATATACATTAAATTTAATTTATTTAAAAATTAGAATAAATATCTTAATATTTTGTTATTAATAAAAGTTATGTATTTTTGATTTTCTACATTTTTAATTAATACATAAAATTATATTAATTAGGCTAGATTTGCTATTATTTTAAACATTTAGCAAAATTATCAATAATTTTAAAATATTACAAGATTTTGATAATTAAATAAGACTTATAATACTAAATAATGTTGTAAATCTGATAATTTTCTACAATATTACTTATTACATTAAATTATTACTATATATTAAAATTTAAAATTTGCGTTAATTTATAATTTTTTAAAATTTAGCTTAAATTCTTAATTCTGGTAAAACCATAAATCGCATGATAATATAATTACGTACTTATATTTTGTATTACATTTTTCGAGTTTTGTATTACATTTTTGGTAAAACAATTATTATGACATATACAGTATATAACTTTATTTATTATATTTTAAATTTCTTAAGTTTTTAAAATAAAATTATTTAATTTTAAGATTAAGTTATAAAAAATTTAATATAATAATTATTAAAAATTTATATATTATATATTAATTAGAGAGAGAGAGAAGAGAATTAATCATTTATTATAAATGAAATTTCTTAATAAATTAATAAGATTATAAAAATTTTTATTATAATAAATTTTATAATTAATATACTTAAATGTAAATTCTAATAAGATTATTATAGATGATTATTATTAAAATATAAAATTTAATTTTTTAGTAATGTTAATTTTTTAATTATATAATTAAAAGATAAAAATGGTTGAATCTAAAAAAATGAGTTTTTAATAATTTTAATTAAATTAATATTTTATTTTTTAATTTATTTGCAATAAAAATTTAAATATAATAAAAATAAATTTGAATAAATAATTAATTTTTAAAAAAAAAAACTAATAAAAAAAAATAAATCTAATAAGATAATAAATAATCTATATTAAATAAAGTAATATATTATTAAATAATAGTTTTGAAAAGTGTAAAATACATATGTAATAATAAGAGCTAATTAGATATTTGATTCAATTTTTAAATAAGTAGTATTAAGATATTTTTTATTATTTAGCACAGATTTATATAGTTTTTTACTAGTTCTTAAAATTAATAGTTTATTATTTTTATAAGTTTATATATAGTTATATATTTTTAAAGATTAATATAATTTTTTATGTTTTTATTTTTTAATAATAAAATAATTATTAAATTTAGGCTTTTAATTATAAATTTATTAATTTTATAAATATTTATCTTAAATATAAATTTTATTTTAAATAGAATCACTTTATCTAATATTTTAAATAAATTACTTTAAAAATTTAAAAGATGAAAACAAATTCAAATTTAATAAACTATAACTACTTTATTTGACAATCAGACTAAAAATATTTATTAAAATTATTTTTTAAACTAGTAAGTACTATTACTTATTTATTTTCTAAATGATAATTAAAATATCAAAGTTATAAATAAAATTATTTATATTTAAATTATTTATTTTTTCTTTGTTTCAGTTATTAAAAATGTGGGATCTAAGCTATTTAGGAACTCTTCTAACCAAAAAAAAAGATTATTAAAGTAATTCATTTATTATAGCAAACATATTGAAAATTAGATTTTAGGAATGATCGTCATATTTTTTTTTGGAAGTGACAAACATATTTCCGAAACCCTCTGTTTTTTAAAAAAATTAATATTTATATTAAAATAATTAATATGAAACTTGAATTCAATTTTGGGTAAAGGGGGGTCGTTGTTTTCTTTAAAATATAATGGTTTTTTAAAGAGGATTATTTAAAAGAAATTTTTTATTCAAATATTTTTTTTCAGTAATAATGTTAGTTTGGTGTAACAAAAATTCACAAATGTTACTGCGGTGTAACAATACTTGCCCCATAAGGTGATTTTAATAGCTTAGCCTCATATTTTCAATTTCAATAAACTTATGATAATTTCACAATTACGAGCATTGTTTTTTGGGTATTATGCCATCTTAGAGTTTGGTCTTATGACATTTGACCAATGCCATATGACCGAAGTATTGTTTGAAACATTCTTTGTCAAAGCTGGTGTCTTTATTGCATTGATTTCATAAATAAGGTTTAAATCTTTTTCTACGTTATTCGATGGCTGTCAAACAAACAAAATGCAGATTTGTAATTAATACATTTACTATATTTAGCTTGAGCTGTTCAAATTCGGTATTGAAAACTCCGCGAAAAGCACAATGTTGAAAAACTTATTTAAGAACCTCTTTTTTGTTTTTTCTGCTCCTTTATTTTCTTTTTTTTTATAAAAAAAAATTTTTCGATACCTGATAATATATTTATCATAATGTTGTTAATGCAAGTCCCTAAAGAAATTCATTTATTGATTATAGAATCAATTTTAGAATCTTCCGATTCCGTGAACGATTTTATACCCTTATTATTTACATGTCGTCACTTCGCAAACCTTTGTCTCTACGAGATATGGAAAATAAGACGGATTATAGAATATCGTTCATTGAAAAACTTTTATAAAACACTAACAAATAATCCATTAATGCCTTACGGAAATTTCATATTAAGATTGCAAATGGATGAATTAGATAATGATTCATCAATTTGTATTGATGCTGAATTACTTAAATTTTTTTCTGAAAGATGTAATAATCTTCAGGAATTAATTTTAAAATTTTCTCAGAAAAAAAGAAAAAATAAGACACATTTACTTCCTTTGAAGTTTCTTGGGGATCGATTAAATTATTTGTCAATAGTCAATTATGAACATTTAGATGATGTGAAAGCAGAACAGATGGAGCGTTCTTCGCTGATTAATTGTGGACATCAAATTTTGAAACAAGTGTATCATCATTATAATAAAACAATTATTTCTTCCCGTAAAATTGCGTACAAATTGCGAGGTAGATCAAATAGAGATTCCATCGATTATAATGAAACCGATGAGGCGGAATATCATGATGCGCTAAGTGAGATCATTAAATTAGGAGCTGTTAAATGTGTTCGATTATATGATCCCAAAATGACTGAACGGGTGTGGGAAAGGTAAGAGAAAGATATATATATTAAACTTGAAAAAAAAGTTATTATTTAATTTACTAAAAAAGAAAATATAATTATTCCTTTTACAATCGAAATAGTTTTACGAGCAGTGCAACAAATTCTTTGCAAGCTATTAAAATAAAATTGAATAGTCCAAAATTTACAACAGATCCATCAACGATTGTATCATTATTTGGACAATATTGTAAGAATTTAAGGTTATTCATTGTAGACACATTTCAAGTATCCATCTCAAAAAAGTCCATGATGTTTTTAATGGAAAATTGTAAAAAATTAGAATATTTAGACATATCAGCATCGAGCGAAACAGTTCCATTTTTACATACATCTAAATCAATCATATCAATATATTTATCCCATGCAATAAACGGGAAGGATCTAAATCAAATTAATGAGAGAATGGAGAATTTAAAAAGGTTAACCTTTTTAAAAATTGAAGGTAACAATAATTTGCGATTTTTGAAAAATTATCCAAATTTAGAATACTTATCGATCGTAGATTTTCGTGAAATGAATGAAGAAGGATTTTTTAATATCTCAAAGTTAAATTTAACCGAATTAGAATTAATTAAAACCCCAAACATATCGGATGAAGTATTATTAAGATTAGGGTCAATGAGATCATTAATTAAGTTGAACATTAAAGATCGTTTATCTAACGTAACACAAAAAGGTTGGATTAATTTAGTTAAAAGACCTGTCGGGTGCCCTTCTTGGCGTATAATAACAATCGATGATGGTAGACAAATTAATCCCGAATTTTTTAAAATATTAGAATATAAACATCTTAATTTAGAATTTTTGAAAATTAGAGGTTTTATATATGGTAATCTATTAAAAGATGATACTTTCGAAAAATCAAAATTTAAGGAAGCTTGGTGGTATTATAAAATTCATTCTTCTACACCTCTTGTTTATTGGCCTATCGGATACAAGAAGAAGAATGCAAATAATAGAATGTTTATGAAGGAATATTATAAAATTACTCATAATATCTACTCTATTTTCAAGCAAGAGGAAGATATTTATTAAATTGAGATATGATTTTATTTTCAATCAAGTGCATTAATTTTTTATGGACAGATAGATTTTATAGTAACCCAAATTAACAATTAACCGAGGTTAAATTTTTAGCTTTATGAACATTATGCAGGATAATTAGACTTAATTATTAATATTTTGAGAAAGGTTTGGACTTTTCCTCTACTGTAGAAACTTAATAAGAAAATTTGTCAATACCTATTTGTAATTAATTAATCAGTTAATGATTAGCTTGTTTTAATAAATTCAGTTTGCGTAAATTTTATAAATTTTATGTAAATTTTATATTTTTGACTATACAAATATATCTAAATAAATAAAATAATTTTTTTTTTATAAATCAAATTGTTTATTTTTATTATTTGAGATAAAAAGTAATTTTTAATTAATTTAAAACAGCTAAGTTGCTAAAATTTATAAATGTTGTAGTCTCGATGTTTGAATAAATACAAGGGTAGATATTCGGTAAAAAGTTCGATAAGGTTGATAAACTTGTTACAATCAAATTTTGTCAATATTCGATATTTTGCCAAATCACCTGAAGGTATTAATAAACTATAAATAGTATCGTCATTAATCATTATTTCAAGATTATTCTGATTCTCTTTTCTAATTTAAAATAATTTCTGGCTTTTCTTTGAATACTTCTCTTAAATAGCAATAGTTAAACCTTTTTTAAAAAATATTTGAATTGTAGACTAAACTTTCGTTACTTTTATTCTAACTCCTTAATTCTCATTTCCACCATCCTTTCTATAACTTATTCGGATAGTTATTTCAATGAGTTTTATTGCTTTTTTGCATCAAATATTATCATAGGTTTTGCTCAGGCCCCGATTTAAAGTTTTCCGGATACTTAAAAAGAAATATCTTAACACTGCTTTTAGAAATTGGTAATTAGGCAATAAAATAAGAGTTGGTAATGCTCGCTGCGCCTTTTGAAATTCGCAAAAGAATTTGTTTTTTTTTCTTGAGGGTACAACATTTCTTCAAAACTTCATCGTAACGAAGATGATGTAAATTTCAACTATCAATCATTTGGAACACATCGATACATAACATAAACTAGGAATAATTTGTGCGATATTTCATTTTAATTCGAACATCTATAAATTACTTTGAAAATAAACTTAATCGTCTATGTTAAAAACACTGAATACACGCATAACATAAATTTTAAAAGTAACTTAAATAAAAATATTGCAATTACTTTATTTTAATTAGTTTAAAAAGAATACTCTGAATCTATAGTTTCAGCGGCATCTTGAGTATCATTTTTTTTGCATATGCATAAAATTATAAAATTGATCAAACATATTCATATTGGTTAATTCATTAACTTATAAAATAATCAATCTAAAATGAAGTAATCGCTTTATATTTATTTAGGTTACCTTTAAAATTTTGTGGTATGCGAGTTTTCAGTGTTTTGCATAGTAGACTAAATTTATTGAGTAATATTCGCATTAATCTATTCATGTAATTTATAAATGTTCAAATACACGACCTCTTGAGATTGAGGTAATTATGATTATTTGACTATCATTAGCTCTTCATCATTATTATTTGTTGTATAAAAAAAAAACTTACCGAATCTTTCATCTGAAAGGGATCACCTAAATAATAATAATGAAATCAAGAAGTAATCTTTTGATCGAGAGGATCCCAAATAAAAGAAAGGGGTGCAATAAACCGAAATCGTTCTATCGGTGCGCCTCGAAGCGACCGAACCATAACTAATACATCAAAAATAAAACCGATTCACCTAATAACCTCGTTAACTATCTTCGATCCGAATGGGAATCTAGAGGGAAAGTTAGTTTTTTTGGAAATCTGTAGCATGAAGCGATCGAATCCAGAAATTAAAAAAAAAAAGCTCCAAATGTTTTCATCACCTAAAAAAATTAATACTTTATTACCAATTAAACGATCATTCCTAATGAAATTACCTAAGAAAATGAAGATATAATAAAAATATAACTTACCTTGAAGCGAAGAAAATGACTAAAAAAAGAGATAATCAAAGAAATACCTATGAATCCAGCTCTACTAAAAAAAAATAATAATTATAAAATAATTACCGTAATTGATAAAAAAAAAATTGATTCCGACTTAAATTCGATATAAAAGAAAAGTTAAAAAAAAAGTTAAAAAAATAAAGTCTTTTTACCGAACCATCAAATGAAGAACTTAAAGGTAAGAAAAAGGAGCAAGATCTTTTGGAAAATAGTTAGCTGAAGCGATTACCTAAACGACGCCTTTTATCTTTTCTAAAGTACTAAGACACCCGGTTATGTCACACAAAGATTTATCAAAATTCGTGTAACATTAAAATCACGGAGTTTTAGATTTAATCTAATAGTTTCTTTGAAAAGTTTCTATAATACCTACCCAAAGGTGCAAGTATAAATCTTTAGTATTAGTTATTGTTGCAGAATATGTGTATTTTTTTTTTTAACTAATATTTAAGATTATTTCGATTGCAACTTTGAAAATTTTTTGTTATTTTGTAAATGAAGCTTATTTCAACTATAAAAAAAAGTTACATGTTAACAAATATTTAGAGAAAAACCTGCTTAATGATATAATGTAAAGACTCATAAATTATGCACATCTAAAGGGTTCGCGCTAAAGCTTCTTTATGTATATTTGATAATACCAAATTTGCATCTCAATTACGGTATCGAATCTCAAAAATGTTCAAAGACAATAACAATATACTTTAGATTACATTTTTAGTTGACTTATTATGGAAGGAATTGCGGTTTGAAATTTTTTTTTGTATTTTTTTTTCTATTTAATTTTTTTTTTGCTTTTTAGTTCAATCGTTTTGACCAATTATATATTCTAATGACCGCGGTGGTCGATCGTTGAGTTGCAAAAATAATCAATCAATATGTATGTTTAATATGTAGCATTTCGCACACAAGAAAGTTATTGATAACTCATTTAAATTTTTGTACTGTTAAATCTAAAGACTGTTGTGATCTTCTTTAACACTTTTACAAGATGTTAAAGTTTCGGTGAAGTAAACTGTAATTTGTTTTTATTTTTATAATTAATAATTATATCGTGAAAGGTATTTAAGATAAAGAAAGTCTTTGTTGCTTTATTCACAATAATTTCCTCTCGTTCATATTTATTCGAAATTTCTGCGTCCGTCATCTATATTTCGTATATTTTTATCAACGTTACACAAAATCAAATGTTGAATAATTACACGATTTTTTTTTTCCAACTTATCCACCTTTCAAAAATAATTCTGACTTCATTATAAAATTGAAATATGTAGAATATGCAGTGTACAAAAAATCTAATGTATGGGTTAATTGGATTGAAGCAGCTATTTCTTAAGAGCAGCGATTTTCGATACGGGAGGGATCGTTACGTCATAGTCTAACGAGCAAATTGGAAAATTTTAATAAATATTTATCGTTAAACATTTTAATAATTCTCAACGACGCAACATTTAGAGGAATCGTCCGCGAGGTAATTTAAAGTTGCACGCCTCAGAATTCAGAATATTTCGAATTTGAAATCTTGCTTTTTTAGTTCAACTTCGCCGGGAAATTGATTGTATGGGTGGTATGCTATTAATATTGGGGTACGAGACATACATAGTAAATCATAAGATCCGTACCTCAATTTAATAGCTCACCACTCATATCATTAGTTTTCATGGAATTACAATTTCCATTCGAATTGACCGAATAATTTGATATTATATTACTAAAAGTTAGGACTTCTAAGAAGAATAGATAATTCTTGAACGATTATGAATCATTCATCTAGAATAATGATAAATCATTAGGAATTGGAATCGATTCTACCAAAATCAATTTAATTAAAAATCGAAAAAAAAATCGAGTCTATTTTTTATTGGCGCAGTTAGTCCGGCTATAATAAAATAGGGATCATGAAGATAATATCCACCACTATTAAGCAATTTTGAATAATAAATAATGCACTTAGACTATTAAAATACAAATGCTATTGATTGTTTAATACTCGGTCGGATCACTACAGTATATGCATCAATTACCGCCTGAATTCGTCAAGGATACTTTCGACTAAATTGTCAATTTTTGTAGTGTAATTGATTCCCAAGTTATTCAATTAGGCTTTATGTTTATGGCTATAACTGGTTTTTTTAATTTCATCCCGTAAATGTTAAGGTTAGGGCTTGAGCGAGGTTCTTATGTACTTTTTGAACGAAATCCGCGCAGTAATTTTGCTTTGATGAAGAGGAAGCGTTATCCTCTTGAATGATCCATCATCATTTCAAATAAATACTTTATGCAAAATACAACATGCTTGCGTATAAAAATTGTATAATTTCGAGATATATTGCATATATTGCACCAGTTACGGAAACAACTGGACCTAAACAATGTGCAGAAAAGGATCTCCATTCGGTTTGGACCGTGTTTCGCTGTTGCTGAAACGCAAGCAGATACCCTATGAAAAATAAATGTCCAAAAAATTTCATCGAAATGTCCGGGTGGGGGGGTGTCTTGATATAGGACAAAAATTGATGTCCGGAATGTTACCATATCCAGAAATTGTCCACAAATTCCGGACAAAAAATTCAGGACAAATAAACATTTTCAAAATTGAAATTAATTTTTGTCAAAATTCCAGACAATATTTCTAAAAATACATAAATTAAAAATCAAAAAATGTAAGAAGCACAAAACTGACATTTAAACCTTTCTTCTTGTACTAAGTAAACTTGTAAAGCAGGCAAAAATACTATCTATGATATTAAATAAGTTAAAATTTTTAATTACTTTGGTAATAAGTTTCAGATGAATATCAAATTTATAAACAAAATCCGGACCCGGACAAAACAGTTCTTTCACGTTTCGACACATGTTCCGGACATAGTGATCTTTCAGGAATTTGTCTTAACGATTTTCCGGACATTTTGTTAACAAATTTTGTACATCATTTTCATAGGGGATAACCTTTCATTCAGGTGGTTCTCTCCTTACCCGACTTGTATGTAAGCTAAAATTAGACAATGTCGATACGTTATTTTAAAAAGCTTTCTCTTAGTCTAGTACGTACTGTCTAATGTGAATGTCATTGTTTGAGATGTTTGTGATAGAAAATCAATTAAATTAGTGGCTTACAATATTTATTCGCTTAATAAAAAATTCGAAAAAAGTGAGAGAATCTCCTCTCCGTAAAAGATTAATGCCATGATTTTCTACGATCCTGGGGTAAAGTGGTTTAATGTTCTTGAATTAGACATGTCCAATATCTTTTAGATAATTATTTAAATAAGATTTCCCGATGATGCCAATATATATCGTTATTGACTGACTACGGAATCTGTAAATTTAATTTTTGCAATCAAAATGCTACCTTTTACCTTCTAACAACAAGGAAAAAAAGTGGATTAGTTCTCAATTTTCTGTTCCAAATTATTGATTGTTATGGTAATTGACATCTTAAATTTGCTACACATGTTAAAAAAGTGTTTCTGTGTTTTGTGAAGTAAGAAATCCAATTCATCCTTTAGTCGTCTTTAAATTTTTCCAGAGGAGTGATTCTGTTAATGAACGAGGATATATTTTATTTTTTTTAAACTCAACATATAATAAATAGAACATTTGCAATAGAAAAGGAGGAAATTGCCGAAAAAATCATTTAACATTTATATTATATATTAAGATTCAGCATTAACTCATTTTTGTAATTGTTCCTGGCATGCAAGAAATTGTTACGTGAATTTGGCTAGCTAGTTCAAATTTTTGGGAACAAATTGTATTATCGAAATTGACCTGCCAATTTGGAAATTGTCCTTGACCATTCACCATAATTTGTATATTTGTTCTTTAGTCAATTTGTCCTCTGGATTAATTTTAGTTTAAAACGATTGTCTTACGACCTCTTAGAAAATGGAGTTTTTAGTTGGATTCGTATATTTTAATTATATTATTATAATTTAATTTCGTAAAAATCAGTTTAATAAATTTGACTTCTGAAGTAAATAGTACCAATGTCACTTTCATTTATAAAATAAGGTTTGCATCATATTTAAAACCTGCTGCTGCTTACATTCATTGTTTATTAAATGTAACCGTTAAGAACTGACCGTAACAATATCAATAAGAACCAACATAAAATTCAGTCTCTTTTAATGAAAATTTTTACCACTTGACAGGATACTGTAAATACCAGTAGCATTTCGATATTATAGATAATCTTTGAAAAATCCTTATTTTTGATTTCAGATTTGATAAATTATGACCTTACTTTTCTTTGATTTGCCCTAAAGATGCAAATTGTAAAAAAAAAAAAAAAAAAAAAAAAAAAAAAAAAAAAAAATTACTCTTTTTCATTCTCTTAGATAACGTCCATTACTGTAAACTCAATATCACACCTCAAAAAAAAATCCTCCAATTTGATTAATTTAACTGGAAATTAAGAACACAACACTATGAAATTCATATTCAAAAAAAAGTTACGCCGTCCTGAGTTGTTATTTTAATATTAACCTTGATTGGAAAATTTATACAAAACTTAAAATAGTAAGAACTTGATTTTTTTTGAAGAAATTAATACATAATAGGATATGGAATGATGATCAAAGGCTGAAATTGAATTAAATGATGTAAAATTTATATTTTAATTGAAATCTCTTTCGCTTTCAAAATTAAATAGTCGTAAAATGGTTTTAAAACATAACCTAGAAAAAGAATTGAAAGTCTTGGGAAAAAGAATCAAGACATTAGAACTGGATAAAAAGAAAACCGAAGATGAAAATCAATTGTTACTTTCATATTTCCTAAATGAAATGGATAGTAAGGATTTAGATAGTTTAAGAGAATCATTAAATAGCCAGAGACGTACCGAGATGTTGGAATTAGATAATGGAAGACGAGACATTTATAACTTAAATATTAATAGAGAGAAATCGTCAAACTTTAGTTATCAATTTAAACATTTCGAAGAAATGATTAAAGAGCGAGATGAAAAGGCTAAATCCATGCAAGAATTAATGAATGAATTAGAAAAAAAGGTTAGAGAACAAGAAGAAGAAATCAAAGCCAAGCAAGTAATTATTAATGAATTAGAAGGAAAGGTTAAAGAAACTAAGGCCAAACAAGAAACGATTAACGTATTAGAAGAAAAGATTAAAGAGCAAGATGAAGAAGCCAACGCCAAGCAAGTAATTATTAATGGATTAGAAGGAAAGGTTAAAGAAACTAAGGCCAAACAAGAAACGATTAACGTATTAGAAGAAAAGATTAAAGAGCAAGATGAAGAAGCCAACGCCAAGCAAGTAATTATTAATGAATTAGAAAAAAGATTAAAAAAGCAAAATGAAGAAGCCAAAGCCATGCAAGTAATTATTAATAAGTTAGAAGAAAATTTCAGAGAACGAGAAGAAAAAACCAAAGCCAAGAAAGAAACTATTAATTTTTTAGAAGAAAACATTAAAGAGCAGAACGAAGAAACCAAATCCAATCAAGAAACAATTAATGTTTTAGAAGAAAACATTAAAGAGCAGAATGAAGAAATCAAAACCAAGCAAAAAACTATTAATGTTTTAAACAAAAGGTCGAATAATCTTAGACTTTTCACATCATTCTTCAAAATTTTTAAAGAAAGGTTAGGCAAGAATAAAGTGATAAAGAAACTATATATGAATCAAAAGTAAGCGAAGGAAATATAATAACATACGATTATACTATTGTTTATTAAAACTCAAGTGTCCACATACTCCAATAATTAGTTTACCGACTTTACCTTAACAACTGCGAAAAATACTCTGATATCTAGCTTACCAAATTTACCTAGTTCACTATCATACCTTTCCCCTCAATCATTAAATCCTTCTAGACCATACAATTACAATAGTATTTTCTTTGGATGGAAGTTTATTATTTTTAAATTTTTATTTTTAAATTTACCCAAAATTGTAATACTTTATGATTTTTGATTATTTGCTGTAATTAAGTTTCATTGAATAAATATCCGACGATGCGTTTAAAAAAAACACGTCAATTAAGTTTTTCAAATACTGCAACTTTTTAGTATATGAATTTTACAAGGGCCCTCCAACTCCCATCACAAAAAAATCTCAAGCACCTAAAAACAATTTACTAATGTTTTATTTTTACAAAATATTCTCGAAAAGTAATTCTGAAAACAAATTAATATTTAAATAATGAAATGAAAATTCGAACAGATTACATTAGATATAAGTTCACTGGCTGGATATAGTAATAGCATTTTTTCCATATGGGCGTTTTGCTATTAAATCACGCGTATCTCTCGTAATTCGATTTTATAGCAAAACGACCCAAATCTTTGTGATGCTGTTATTATAATGTTTCAGGTGGATATAATTAATTTATCAATTAAAAGTTTTAATTTAATTATTCTCCCCCCGAATTCGAAATTTAAACTTTTCGATCAGAACTATGATGTTAAGAGGTCCCAAATGATTTTGAACAAATTTAATCATTTATCTATAACAAGTAAATCGTTAAAATTTGGTTATAATATAATTTACGAAAAGAAAATACACTGAGGTCGATAATTTTCATTTCATGGCACCGTTAAGTTGAGCAATTCAAAAAAAAAAAAATTAAGATTCTGGATTTCCTAATGATTTAATATTTATTTTAATAAATATTCCATTAATTACATTATCAATATCATTAATTAAAGAGTAAAATTTCCCTAAAACTGCAAATTATTGGAACTTTTAGTACTGTTTAGGACCGCTTAACATCCCTAAAAAAAATTTTTTTAATTTTCCGATTTCGATTTTGAAAAATAAATTTTACAATGTCGTTCATACCTAAAATGATTATCAGCATATTGAAGGCCGAATAATGTTGTACTTAAAGTCTTAGTAATATCTTTAAATGAATCCAATAACGATAAATGTCGTATAGCAGGAGATGATCTTTCAATTGGATATGTATTGTGATACTAATTGGATTTGAAGAAAATTTGCCAATTGATAAAAATTAAATAAAATTAAAGCCTTTCAAATATCCAGTTAAACATGTTCACGAGTAAGATCAGATATCGTTCATTTTATTTACAAATAATGGCAACCTTGTATATTCACGAGGAGGAGGGCCGTTCAAAATCCCGAAGATCAAATCCCGAAGGTGAATTCATGTTCATAATCCTGAATGGTCATTATATTGTTATGAATTATTAAAAATATTAAGTATATTTCAAGAGTTCTATCACGAGTTTAACGAAGTTTATTGAGTTTTTAAAATTTTTGATTCTTTTAAAATATTTTTGCCAACCATCGATGATAATCTACTAAATCATAATCTCATCGAAAGAAAGTTTAAAAATCATTAATAAAAATTTAATAATGTCATGCATTAGCAAACTATTATTTTATAATTTAAAATTATGATATTCGGGATTATGGTCATTCGGGATTATGACTTCGGTTATGATTTGATCGTACCAAACCCATTCACGAGTAACTTTAAAATATTAATTCTCATATATGTGATGAATTAGTTTTAACAAATTTCATAAACTTTATTCAGACAATATTACGCGAGATAATAATTGAGGATAATAAAATATGAGCAATTTCTTCAAATTATATATTCAATAGGACTTGGATACATTTAAATTCGAAAAGTTATTTACTTGGCCATGTTGAGAATATTTAGCATGAGAGGAATTTTATTCTTTGTAAAATATTTCGATGAATTTCGATATTTTTTTTAATTTTTCGATTAAGTTATGTATTAAACAATAAATAACTTTTAACATACTACTGAACATTCGGTCATGGTCGGTTCAATGGTCAGTCAAAAGCCTTTGAAAGACCATTTCAATCACTGTCATGACCGGTCATAACCGTGACCATAACCGTAATCAATTACAACCCGTAGAGGGATCAAGATTTTTAAACGACAACTGCGAATGTTTCATCCTTATTGAGTATCATTCAGCATTTGGATTATGGATGATGACATCGTAGTTGATTGACACTTACTTATAGCAAACGTCCGAGCATCAAAAAAAAAAAATACATGGAGAATAGATCATATGGGTGATCCTAACGATCAGCTATTAAAATCACGTTAAAGATCATACGAGATTTTAACTTTTACGATGTCTTGTTCAATATTTATTTTTCGTGTTTAATTAACTGTCGACAAATCCAAAGAACCATTTAAAGAAATAAAATTCAATAAAATTTATGATGAATCATTTTAACGATCTTTTAATAAATTTGTAGATTTTTACACGTACCATACTCGAATTTTTCTATAAAACTGACGCGTCTAGTTTAGGAGTAAGCATCTTTTAAAGAAAATTATATTTCTTCAATTGTCGCGCATGTATTTCTTATGGATCAAAGCATTGCTTGAGCAGCTTTTCACCATTCCTAATTTTACGATATTGTTAATAGCAGTTCTTTGATGTTTATGGGTTATAAACGGAGTTTTAAGGTGAGCAGAAGGTATCGTTTTTATTATTTTTACTAATTTAATTAATAATAATCGGAATTCCTAATCTAATACAACATAGATATCGTATTGCCTGCAACGTCGG